AATTAAAACAAGTAAAATACTTTGTGAGGCAATCCTAGGACAGACATTTTTATGTTCCTATACCACTCACATTTTCTTGCTTGCTGATAAGTAGATTATAACCCATATCTCAGATATTGTATTTTGGTGTATAAACAGTGTAAACAAACATATTTCTTGCCACCCTGTTGAACACACACAAACACCTGTTGACTTTTTTTTCTAGTTTTACATTAAACAGTCAGTCAAAACTATTTGATGTTGATCATCAATTCTAGGTCTACATGAAGACTGAATGAGGCAAGAATCTAACCTGTTAATAACTGACAGATCTCCCTGGAAAATCTAGAAGAAAATTAGGCAAACAGAGGAAGAAGGGATCTCTCCCCACGACTGTCAACCACCATATGCAATGTATTAATTTCTTGCTGTTCATTTTTACTGTGATATGGATCCAGGCAAAGTGATTCTGCATTATCCCTTGGTTATCAGAAGAGTCTGATTTCTTGGAGTTCACTCCTTGGAACTAGGAAGTTTGTCACCACATATCTATATCTTTATCTACAGATATTTTTATAACCTAGGAGGAATCCCCTACAAAGAACACCTTTTCTGTTGGGTTTTTTTTTTTTTTTTTTTTTAAATGGGGGAAGTACTCCCTGAGACACATACTGCTCTTCAGACCACTGCCCTTCAAACCTGGATGGCAGGCAGGCAGTGGTTTCTGGGCTCCACGCCCTCTGAAATGCATGCAGTGGATCAGGGCTGGCGACTGGTTGATTGGCGGGGCTTGGGGCATCTTTGCATACAGGCAATTCCCTGCTTTAGAGCACCTCCCAGAGTTTTGGCCCATTAACCCAAGCACAACAGCTTGATGAATTAATGCTTATAGAGGCACAGTTGGCAGCTTCTAATTAAATAATTATGGCTAAGCAGCTGCACGGAAGCTGTCATGCACCCTAGAAAGCCAGCTGTCAGCTTTATTGATCCGGAGACTGAGGAAGAGTTAACACTTAGCTCTGGTTGTTAGGTACAAAGACCAAGTATATCATATGCAGTATATCTGCTGTGCATTATGAAGTTGTTGCATATTTGTGCTAGTCTGTCCATGGCGTAATGAAGAGCAACCTGCTCCTTGGCATCCTCTCAGCAATCCAACAAAAAAAGGAAGTGATTATATGAGTAGAGAACAGAGTCTGTCTGGAGCAGTCTACAGAGGGCTTAGTATTATACAGATGAGCCCTTGATAAACACAGAAGTGTCACTGAACTAGCAGGCAACTCAGGCTCTAAGTCTCATTTAGATGAGCAAGTGATTGGAATCAAGTGTGGTCTTTTTGAGGGGGTATGACTGATATGCTTTCTTCTGTTTGACTAAAGTTTCTTAAGAGGCCGTTTTCAAATATTAGAAATTGGGGAACAAGGTAAATATCACAAACCTAGATTTAAATTCAACGATTCATTTTTTTCCAAGTTAGAAGATGTCTATTCTACAGAATCACAGATATTGTCATATTCCTTTATAGAAAGCCAAAAAGCTAAAGCTTTATCTCTACACTAATGGAAAACTCACTAGAAGGAAGAAAGCAGAATCTGGCCACTAAGCCCCAACACAGAGGAAGGTATAGATTATAGATAAAAGCCATAGATAGGGGTATTGGACCAAATAATGCTTGTTACAGAACATCAGAATGCGACTGAACTGCTAGCTGATTCCACTTTTCTCCGCAGGCTGTTCTTTCTATACAATCCATGTGTCTTCACTTCTAAAAACCAAATCTGTGAAAACCCAGTACAGAACAACTCGGCTTCCCACAGGCCTTGTCACCAAAGCTCCCAACATCATCTCCAAAGGAATAAACACAACTGTAGGCAAAACTCAGTCCAACAGATTCAGTCACACCTTAATGTGTAGAGACATTTAGATACTTTAATCCTCAAAATGTATGGATTTGCCTTAAAATAAGAATAGGGGAAAACTGGAAACATATTTCTCATGGAATTCACTTCACCCAGCTCCCAGACCTGTTGACAATCAGCAGTTCATCAAGCACTGAACTTTACAGACTGATTGTTTTCCTCCCAGAGATCAATGGCTTATGGTTAACTTAGAGTAATTCTTAAAATAAGGCATTCTGTACAGTAAATTGTCATTTAAACAACTGGACTGACTCTAAGAAATTCTTACTATAAAGGCTTCAGTACAATTGTTTTCTTTCTTTTTTTTTCTCTTCTGGTTTCCTTTTATGCCAGTGATTATATCACGTCAGTAGTCTGAAGCTGACTGTATGTGATTGACAATTCTCAAGGATTCATTCCTTTTGGGTGAATCCTAAATGCAGCTCAGCTTAATTAAGTCTGCAGAGCAAGTCAAATCTCAGTACAAATTGTTAAGGAATCAAATCACAAATTCGTGAAAGCCTAGGCAGGCAAATTTCAGGCTTGGGGTCGGGCGGGGGAGGGGGCAGGGGTGGGAAGGGGTCTTTCATCAGTCTGTACTGCCATCTAGCCAAGATCACGTCATTCAGTGCAACATCCATTTTGCTTTCAACGTCCCTGATGAAAGCCAGTCTTCAGAAACCAGCTTGATAGACCCAAAGTTCAGATAAGACAACAGTCAGCAGCACTTCAGCCACTCTGCGTCTACCAAGCTCCTGTGACCCAAAAGCCAAGTTCTCATCATTGCTTTATCTTCACAGTTCAATATCTGACAGACAGACACACATGTCTATTTTCATTCCACATATTACCTATACCAATATCATCTGTATCCTGTGATTTCTGAGGCCTTTAAATATTCTGTGAGTTGACTGGAAAAACAAAAGTTACCTTAGGTAAAACATGAAAGCTGATTATAACCTCTAATCCCCTAGCTATACCTCAAGAGCTAAAAAAAAAAGAAAATCCCAAAACAGCATTCCTTAGACATAGACTGGACATGCAGACCATATATACATGTATATATATCTGTTACACAAATCCATACACATGAAAAACAGCAAGAACGCTCTGTACTTACGGTAGAAGACGTACTCAGTGTAACTTGACCAGATCTTGTCATCTGTATATTGGTTGACGAAAGATGCTGTCACTGAGGAGTTACAGGCCACCATGTGGAATCCACATTCTGACAACATATCAAAAGCCCTTTCCAGATGCCTGAATTTGAGATAAAATCTGGACGTGTATCTTTCTGGGGCTCGGTCAGGGTCTCTGCTCTCATTCAAAGTTTCTCCAAAGACCTCCTTCGCCAAGGAAATCCTTCCACAAACCAAAATCCGGGGAACTCTCCGAAACTTGGCATCCGCCTGCCCCTCTCTGCCCATGGTGCAGGACCCCCTGTAACCCACAGTAATAAAACCCCACTTGCGGTCAGCAGGGAGCAGTGAGGAAGGGGGGCAGATTCTCGTGTCACTTCCTTGGGAGACATCTTCAAAGTCGCTGTGGCAGAATTCATCTGGGCTTTGCTTGATTTCATCGGGGGTCAGGAGTTTGACCAAGTCTGGGAGCTGGAAGTACTCAGCTTCTCTTTTCAGTCTTCCCCTTTCTGGAAAGTGATCAGGCAGGACCACCTGCCTGTCCCTGAGATAGTCCAGAATATAACGGAACAAGAATCCATCTCTGTCAATGAAAAACCTTCCCTTGGAGTCCTTGGCTAGGTCGTTAGCTGTGTCTCTCTTTGGGGAAAACATTTTCCACAGGAGGGAATGAGGGATGCTTATTAATGTGGAATGGCGAGTAAAATAAACTTGACCCCCAACATTTAGCTCCACGACCTCGGGGAAGGAGTTGGGAACTGCAGCCCCTTGTTCTCGAGCATAATAACGACTACAGTTGCCACTCAGAGCCATGGTACCTTTCTTCTTTTTCTTCTCCTATTTTGATGTGAAGGAGCGATCCAATGGAGTCACAGCCTGATCCTTTGCAGCAACTTATAAGGGAAGGAGAGGATGCTAACTTGTTAAAAACAACCTCCTCTTACCCCAGTTTTTTTTTTCCCCCAACAAAGCAAAATTTCAAAGAGTCCACAGGTGAAGTGATGCTACAGAAGTAGTCTAAACCCTGGCAGGTGGTGAGCTATGACTTCATGGAATATAATCAACTCATCTGTATCCAGTTTTCCCCCAAGCTCAGTAGGCAAGGCCGGCCAGGTCCTCAGTTACTGAGAGGTCTGTCTGCAGGAAAAGAGAGAAAATTATTTCCTCAAACACAGCATGAGTCAGAAAAAAAGAGACTGCTGGAGAGAGGAGAGGGAGGTAGAAGGAGGGAGGGAAACCGAAAGGGAGGGAGGGAGAGATTATTTTACATAAGCAGCCCTGGAATTACTGATTTCAGCCATTCTTCAACTAAATCATAGCTTCTCTCAAGGTATTTCGTGTCTACATATTTATCTATAAACCTGTCTCCAGCATTAGGTATTAAAAACATTTCTATTTGATTTCTGCATTAAAAACGAATATGCAATTTTCAACTTCTAAAAGGAGATTTATTTTCTTTCCCCAGCTGGAGAGGAAAAGCAATAAGCCCTGGAACTTACCTCAGTGAGTGCTGGAAACAGTTCTTGTGAAGAAATACCCATTTGCAAAGCAGTCAATCCCCAGCCACACAGAGTCTGGAGCTTGTCAAAATCCCAAACAGGTAAAATACAGAGGTATCAATGAAAAGTGCCAGAGAGATGTGCTCTTAGAAAATAATAATTATATATATAAATATTTATATAAATGTATATTTGTGTATATGTATGTATATATTCACTCCCAATCTCAAGTTAAAACAAGTCACAAAAAAGTTAAACCGTGACTAGAGGTGGTTGGATTGAAGAAGCAAAGCAGAGAAAAATATTCAAAGCTTCTCCAGGAAGAAAATAAAATCAAACCTTTGGAAAGAATCCTTAAAACAGAAGAGAGTTGCAAGAGGTACCGGGACTTAGAAGCTTTTCAGAAAGCCCAGAAGCAAGACAGATGCGCCCTGCTGGGGTCCCAGGTAGCCACCCCACCTGCCGGCAAGGGCAAGCGGGCTCCCATGTTCCCAGCCAGGTGGGAGCGGGCGGCCGCCGCGGCGCAGAGATACCGGCGCGGGGCTCAGGCTCGGGCTTCTCCGGCGGAGGAGCTGGGTGGTTCCACAGTTCCCAGTGCAGTTCGGATGCTGTTGTTTCAGCAGTGCAGGCAAGAAACCATCCAGGGAAATGACTATTACATCATCTTAAAGGAATATGGCTTGGAGAGAGCGGAGGCAGCTCCGAGTCACGTCCGCCTCGGTGACAGGTCGCCGGGACTGCACGGGGACGCCGCGCTCCGGCCGTGCGCACGCGAGTCCCCCGGGCGCTGCGGGCTCGGGGCGGGGACGCAGCGCGGCGCAGCCGCTTCCCTCCCGGTCCTGTCCGGGAGTCTGGAGTTTCCAAGGGCCTTTGCTTTGCCCTTTCGTGCTGTCTCTAGACCGCCACAGCCACCACCATGCCCCAGAAACGACCCCTCAACCCAGATGAACAGGGCGGTTTTTCATTTTAAAAAATCAACAAACAATTCCTTTGCATGTGCACTAAATTTCTGTTAAAGGGCAAATTGCCCCCTCTAAAGCTTGTTTAAAAGGAAAAAAAGCATACCCAATGACCCCCAATGTTCAAGCTACAAAGTGTTCCCCCCCAGAAGAGGACTAAGCCATGTTCTCTCAGATGCCCTCTCCTGTTTTTGTTTTTGTTTTGTTTTGTTTTCCTTTTTCTCCATTCCTCTCCCACCCTCACCCCAGCAAATAGATAAATAATGAATATATACATCCATACCTTCAGTCTCTGAAATTGCTGATGCTCCTTCACAAGACTATAGGAAGCACTGGTATCCTCAGAGAAAAACAGGGCTTCTACCAATTAAGTCATTATCTTGGCTTCCATGTAAGACATCGTTACCTGCAACTTTTTTCTGGGTCTGTTTTCCTTACGGAGCTTCTCTCTGGATGTGCCCCCGCCCGCTCCCGTCTCATCCCAAGAGGACTCTGGTGGAAGACACGCCTGCAAGGAGACATTTTACTCCTGTCCCAGAGGGTTCCCTTAAGTGCATCATTAGAGTTTCAGGAAGGCATTTCCAGGGCAACCTAATCCACTAACAAAGTGCTTCCAGTTGATCCTGCCAGTCAATAATGGCCCAGCCAACAGCTTACAGTAAGTCAGCCATTTCCCCTTTCAAACACCAATGTCTTAGGACTCACATTCCTAATGAGAATGTAGTACTTCATCGATGAATAATATATGTGGGGCACACTCCATTCCAAACAACTGCTATTTTTAAAAGATGAAAACCAAAAAATGGAGCGAAAAGTGTGAATTAGGTACATTTTATGGGTTACATGGGTTTATTACCAGCTCTTGCCCCAAGAATTAGCCTGAAGATAGACTCAGCAGTAGCATAAAATAATTTCTAATTTAACACTCTTTTCTTTCACTAAGAATCAGGTTACTGAACACATTCAGAGTATTAGCTAACACTCGAACACCTAATTATATTTAACTTTGTTTCTTTAACTAATGTATTAACCTACTCTGGCCTCAATCATTGGGATTTTCATGCTGGACCAATCAAGGATGTGCTTGTAATTTGATGCACTCATATCGCCATCTAGTGTCCTCAAACTATCAGTGCAGGACTATATCCAGCAACGTGTGTGAGTGAGGAGTGAGTGAGTGAGTGAGTGAGTGAGTGAGTGTGTGTGTGTGTGTACGCGCGCGCGTGTGCGTGTTCAGTCGTGTCCGATTCTCTGGGAACCCATGGACTGTAGACCGCCAGGCTCCTCTGTCCATGGAATTTTCCAGGCAAAAATACTAGAATGGGTTGCCCTTTTCTACTACGCCAGGGAATCTTCCGGAACCAGGGATCGAACCGCGTCTCTTGTGTCTCCTGCATTGGCAGGCGGACTCTACCACTGCACCATTTGGGCCAAAGGTCAGATTATTTTTCCTCTTGGTTTTAAAGTTCTTGAGTATTATCAGAAATGTTCTGTTCACCAAGATGACAAAGTAAACATCTAGTTGCTATTGGGTTAAGGGGAAAAGTAAGTCTGAATCTATAACTAGTAAGTACTGTCTTTGGTTGTAGTAAAGAGCAAATTATTTTATGTCTAACCAAGAAGGCCAGCACACTATGACAGTGGCTTTGGAGATTGGATATTAAAGTATTTCGGAAATAGTTTGGCAAGAAATGAAGAAGGGGAGGAAGAGAAATCATAGTTTTTAAAACTAAAAGGATATGAGTATTGCGACTCCTGCTTTCTTTTGGTCTCCGTTTGCATGCTCAGACGGTGTGGAGAAAAGGGAACCCTCTTACACCGTTGGTGGGAATGCAAACTAGTACAGCCGCTATGGAAAACAGTGTGGAGATTTCTTAAAAAACTGGAAATAGAACTGCCATATGACCCAGCAATCCCACTTCTGGGCATACACACCAAGGAAACCAGATCTGAAAGAGACACGTGCACCCCAGTGTTCATCGCAGCACTGTTTATCATAGCCAGGACATGGAAGCAACCTAGATGCCCATCAGCAGACAAATGGATGAGGAAGCTGTGGTACATATACACCGTGGAATATTACTCAGCCATTAAAAAGAATTCATTTGAATCAGTTCTAATGAGATGGATGAAACTGGAGCCCATTATACAGAGTGAAGTAAGCCAGAAAGATAAAGACCATTACAGTATACTAACACATATATATGGAATTTAGAAAGATGGTAACGATAACCCTATATTCAAGACAGAAAAAGAGACACAGATGTATAGAACAGACTTTTGGACTCTGTGGGAGAAGGCGAGGGTGGGATGTTTTCGAGAAAACAGCATCAAAACATGTATATTATCTAGGGTGAAACAGATCACCAGCCCAGGTTGGATGCATGAGACAAGTGCTCGGACCTGGTGCACTGGGAAGACCCAGAGGGATCAGGTAGAGGGGGAGGGGGGAGGGGGGACCGGGATGGGGAATACATGTAAATCCATGGCTGATTCATGTCAATGTATGGCAAAAACCACTACAATATTGTAAAGTAATTAGCCTCCAACTAATAAAAAATAAAAAATAAATAAATTTTTAAAAAAAAACTAAAAGGAGCTTGTGAAATGGAATCACCATCTCATCTTAAAGACATGGAAACTGAATACCCAAGAGGGAAAGCACTTCCACAGGGTCACACAGCAAGGTGAGGTTAGACTCCTGCCTATCCAGTACGGTCAGTACCGTAGTTTTAACCTTATGGATTCTGGAATAGGGATGGAGAGGTGACAAATAAAGAAAACAAGAAGAATTTTGAGATTATTACACATTTGAAAAAGCAGAAAGTCATGTAAAAGAGCTTTTAATATGAAATTAAACTGCAAGGCTAAAATATTTTCACAATTTAAAAGAAGAGTATTCTATATCTCAGAAATGAGAAGCTTTTTTCATTGGTCTGGGCTTCATATGTTAGGCTATTTCTGAGACAAGAAGTTCTTAATTTGGGGGAGAATGGACTGCTTGGAGAAAATCTAGGAAATGAATACATGAACATAAAAGTTCACATTCAATGTCAGGGACAGAGCCCCTGAGGAAGGGCAGAATAAAGAGGCACCAGGGAGATCACGTGGCCAGGGACTCACATTCCCAGCAATACTCACATATGGACTATGAACCTTCTTTCTTTGAAGTTTTTTCTTATTTTTTTCAATGTGGACAATTTAAAAGTCTTTACTTAAATTGTTGCAATATTGTTTCTGTCTTATGTTTTGGGTTTTTGGCCAGGAGGCATGGGAAATCTTAGCTCCCTGATGAGGGATCCAAGCTGCACCTTCAGCTGCACCCCCAGCTGCACCCCAGCACCCCCGCTGCACCCCAGCACCCCCAGCTGCACCCCAGCACCCCCAGCACCCCCAGGCAAAGTCGTAACTGCTGGGTGGCCAGGGAAGTCCCTGAGCCTTCTTTGTAAAGTGAGATTATACTCACACTCACAGAGACACATTCTGAGGACTGAAAAAAAAAAAGAAAACATAAAACATTCACCACACAACCTTAACCTTGTGACCACACCACCTGACTGAATGCACTCTGAATTCATATTTTTTAATAAACACTTTTAAGTACCCCAGACTTTGCATACATATATTGCTGGATATTGTTTTGTGCTTTAAAAAATTCATTTAGTATAATAAAGAGTTAAAAATAAACAATTGTTTTTACAGCCCTCTTGAGGTATATTTGCTTTTTAATCTACCTGGATCCTCAAGAAATCGAGAGGGTCTGGACCTCTTGCCCTTCGAGAGGCCAGGGCTCTGGCGAGGTTGGCCCTAAGTCTATTCCCATTGGGGTTTGTAGAACCCAGGTTAATAGCCTCTGATCTGTACTCTTTCTTGTCCCTTTAGTCTCAGGGAGGCAAAGGATAAGAAGTGAGATTAAAGCCATAATTGGCTTGGAGGAAACAAAGCAATACACTATCTAGAGAGATTTAAATAGTGCTAAAGTAAGCGAGTGTGTCCCAGGGTGTCTCAGGGAGGTTGTCAGTAATCCCAGCTGTTTGGTGCCTGAACAAGAGGCAAGAAGCCAAGTCCAGGCTGTAAGTGTATTCCTGTCCTTCGTGTCGGCAGATGACACTGCTAGTATTATTCTCTTCTGGCAGCTCTCCACTGAAGCACCCTGGGATGCCACACTCTGCGCAAAGGCTGAACATCCAGCAACGGATTTCTCTTAAGGGAAGAATGAGGAAGAATGTTGCATTCCGTTCCTTGTAATATTCAGGCCCACAGCTCATGAAGACATACCACGGGTAACTTGTGGAATTGATGGAACGTGTCTTAGCTTCTATTTCCTGTTCCCCATTTTCACACACCCCCAGAGCTGAATGTTGAAGAGCGTGTTCTCAAAAGGACAATTTTAATTTTGGAATAATGTGATCACCTCCCACAGCCTCACCCCCTAACACATCCTTAAGTTTCTTCTCCCTTAAAGGGAGATAGCTTTTATGCTGACTGTCTGTGTTATCAGGGAGGGAGTCGATCTCATCAACTTACTCAAGCTAAGATGCTGTGCATTCATTGTGTTACATGCCCCAAGGACTCCTGAATTATCAGCATCGGCTTAATAGCTACTGTTGATGGAGGGCCTGTCAGAGCCATTTCCTCTCTCTCAGCTCTCCCTGACTGGTGGTATAACATCGGACAAAAGACTGAATGTCTCTGAACCAGGGTAAAATGGAGATAATAAGAAGACTGCCTCTCAGGTGTGCTGTGCAAATAAAATACGGTGATCTGCATGTTGGACCCCTAGCACATTCCCCAGCTGGGGTGAGTGCTTAATGAATGTCAGTAGTATCCATTAAAGAGGTAGAAGCAGCCATATTTGTTGTTGTTTGGCTCAAGTTGAGGCATAAAGAAGTTACCAAAGATCGAAATTCAGCTCTGTTTGCAAATTTGTTGCTCTTCCCACTATGTAGTTTTAGGTAAAGATTATTACTTGGTATAACTGTATTTCTCTGTAATGGGGGATCAGGCTTTGGTGGGGGAGATGGGTGGCAGAATAGGGAACTGAGAATAATTGATAC